GAAATCAATAGTTTCTCTTCTGTAGGTAGAATTTACATAAAAGATAAATGACATCTTACTGCAAATTTGTTGCGTGATTTTCTTTTTCTTTTCACCAGTCATTCTGTTAGAAGGGGATTTTACATGACTCATACACAAGTGTATAAAAGACATGCAAACCTTCACTTTGGTTTACTGCTCAGCAGGAGAGAGGGAGAGGGACAAATACAGAGGGTGGAGAGATGACGAAGAGCGAAGGAGAGTTTCACCAGTTGCTGAAAGAGGAAGTGCAGTTGATGTGGAGACAGGTCAGTAACTACCTAACTATCATTATAACACACACACTCACACGGACACAGGGGCTTACTTCCCAACAACATCTCACTGCAGATTATTATCTTGAGTCTAAACCAGACTTGGCATATTACAGCACCTGGTACATCCTGTTTTTGCTCGTAATGTCTCTGGAGGGAGATAACAGCGACAGAGCTGTACTGATAGTGGCAGCTGCCCCACACTTGAACTTCTTCAGTTTTTTAAAATTTCATCCGGGTAGCTGCTTTAGCTCCAGAGGCTGCACTATTAACCCCTTCAATCCCGCAGACCTTGTAAAGGGTCACAAACATGGTTCAAAACCACAGAAATGTATTTTAGATTTCTAATAATACCTAACATCAGGCTGAAATGACAGGGAAAGGCTTATCAAATTTGGATTCATTTAAGGGAAAAAAAATAGGAGGAAAGTGAGAGAATTGCAGTTCAAAGTGCCCAGTGTGTATACATTGCAGTGCTTTTTGTAGTTGTGGCATTTTGTAATGTAACACTGCCAACTCTGTATTCCCTCAAAGCCTGCTTTTAAAATAAATAGCGCATCTAATCAGAGCAGACTGGGTTTTTTTCACATCTCATTTGATTAAACAAGAGGTGGTTGTCTTGTAATATATTCTCCAGTCTTTACTGTCAAACAAATTCAAAACTGTGTTCAGTGTTTGCTCATGTAGCAAATTCTTGTGAATGAAACTCTTCAGTTAAATGAGTGTAAAAGTCTCAGATCCGACCTCTGATCAGTGCTTCTGTCACCCCCTGCAGGACGTGCTCCGTAGTCAGAACACCAGCTGTGAGGTAAGCATGTGAGGGATCAAACAGCCATCAAGTCTAGTCCCAGATTGAGGATAATGCTAATCGTGATAGGGGTTGTTCATTACCAGACACCTAACATGTTAGCATTAGCTTCGCTTTGGGAAATTTTCGCACAAAACTAACTGGAGACCACTGACACCGCTGGTACCGGTGCTGGGATTAAGGACTTATGCATGCAACTGAGGAATACGATACATATACAGAAAAGTGAAACTGTAATGGACTAACTGCTCAGACACATACACGCTATCAGAAGCTGGTTACTTCTCCATGAAGCTGCCCAGATACTGCAGTCATGGCAACTGGAAATTTGAAGCATAGGCCCATAATCCTGAGAACAGGTCTGATTATCCAAAAATAAACAGAAAGGTTTGTGTGTACATCCAATCCTATATTTAGACCAGGTGCAGGGTAACTGACTGAATGGAGGAAAAAGATGTGTCCCCAAACCATGGATGCTTTACAATTTAACCTGGGTCTTAAAGTCACCAATATTGCATATGTATCACTTAGCCCTTAGTATAAAGGAGCATTTTAGAATTATGTACAAATGCCTTAAATGCTATATTTTGACACTATGTGCCATTTGCCTGTAAAAACAGAGGGACATTTAGCAAATTTGGTGATTTTTAGTTTTTCAGAAAAAAATGAAAACTAGTCATTCTTTACAGTTTCATCAGCTTGTTAAACCACTACCAACCATGTGACAATAAATGAATTGTCACAAAGATGAAAACAGACCTTGGAAAAAGCTGATTCAGATTTTGTTATATTTCATAATCTGTGTTTAATGTTAATATTGTGAGTACACCGAATTGTAGCAATCAGAGACAAAGAACGGAAACGAAACAAAACAAATCACAGACAAAAAACTAAATTTCAAACACAGTTCAGTCAGTGAAAAATCAAACCAAAGACTTGATTAAATTCGTAGGATTTATATTGGAAATTTTCTCATTTGTATTGTATTGGTTGGTTGAAAAATGCTTCAGACAGCAGGTGGATTCAGAATGTTCTGCTGTCATACTTGAATTTGTGTTATGTTTGGAATCTTCCTTGTACATGTATGTTGATATTTGTACACATAATAACCAAATAAAATGAATAACAAACATGAGGTTTGTCTATCTGATGTTTGTTTTAGCAAAACCAACAGTGAGATTTATAAAAATGGTGTGTTTACCTGAGAGAAACATCTCTACATCTGATTTTTATGTGTTGCAGATGTAAACAAAATTCAAGGTTTAAATGAATTATAAATATGAAAACTATTGCCGGCACTTTGAACACATGTGGCCAAGTTTGCTCCTGACTGAAACATGGGCATTTCTGTGCCCATCATTTGTGATGTTTCAGCCTTGTGACAGAAGTCCTGTGTGTAATCATTAGTTCAGATTCAGTGAAATTGAAGGGGTTACAGCCCTGGCTCCTTAAATGCAGAATACACATAATTTTAATGAAAATCCATCCATCCAACATTTATTTTATATGAATGGATCCATATTAGGACAAAAATCATAATGATAAACCACTGAGCTGAAGGTGTAGTGTTGGATTTCTCAAACCCAGGTGCTTACTGTTTAATGGAGGACTTACACAACTTTTAGGGGTAGATCTTTATGACCTGATCTCATTAAAGGTAGAGAAGGTTCATTTGAGGTAATCACTGAGTAACAGTTTTCATTCATGTTTCTATTAGTCACCAACAGTGTTTCCCCCAAGGTGTCACAGCCACAAAGTGCTTGATCAGTCAAAGCTGTACTTAGCTGCCCTGAACTTCCTTCTATGGTTACTTCACTACTAGGACTTTTTCTGTTCTTAAAAAATGGTGTAGAATTTCATTGTTGTGTGTAGTTTTTCCAACAGTATCCGAACATATGTGTCAGTCCCAGCCACAGAATCTGAAAACAGATTTTTAAAGCCACTCGGATAAAATTATCATGGAAAATAATCTTTAAAACAAACAAGCATGGGTTAAACACACAAAAACTCGTTTTCCATCTAAAAATTCCCTAAGATATAAGTCAAGTCAAGATTATTTATATAACCCAGCATCATAAACTTGTCTAAAGGGTCTTTACAGTGTCTCCTGAGACTCCTAGTTCGGATGAGGAAAAATCATTTTGATAGGAACATAAACGGTTCACCTGTAAATAAAATTGTACACACAATAAACTATTAGTTTACCAGATGTGTTTATTATATAATCAACCTGAGAAATATGGGGAGCAGTGAGTGATTAGTTGGGACTATTTCTATAAATGTTTTTTTAGCCTATTTGATTTATAAAAATGTTGAAAGGATAACACTTTCGAACAAATAAATCCTCTCCATCAAACAAACTATTTATCTCGTTATGTTAGTGTGATTACGTTTACATGAGAGAGGGGGGAAATGTGCCAACCAGTCCAGTGAATGGGCGGACCGGTCAGTCAGCTGATGAAATACTCGGCACAAGTTCCATCCTCAATACACTGATTCCGTCACGCCAATGATTTTCTAGCCAATTACGCACAATGTGGCAAAATTCATTCAAGTGCAGAACGAAGACTCGCAACTTGCTGGGATTTCATTCAGGAATGTGTCTTCTGCGCGCACCTGGAGCTGCTGGAGACATGCACAGGCAACCGATTTCATCTGGTTTATGATACTGATCCGCTGCACCTGTGATGGGGAGAAGCACATGGAGCTTCGGTGCCGTGATCCTGCTGGCCATCATGTGCTCGTGTCGTGCCGTCACCCTAGAGGCCATCCACTGGAGTAGCTCCAATTCAAAGTAAGTGGACAAATCAGTTTCGCGCTGAATGGATGCAACTGTCTGCTTGTGCATATACCTGATGGTTAAACAGATGGGAAGCAACCGTTTTATTGCAGATCAGGGACTACAGCTACAATTAGTCGTTTAGGATATAAGTTAGAGGAAATTAGTAGTAAAAGATTGTTTTGAGAGTAGATTAATTATTTAATGTCATTTTCTGGTTCCAGCCTGATTCATTGTTTTTCTTTGTTGCATTTAATACTGATTCCAGATAAATGTAAGCCTATAGGGTGTTAAAAATACTCATCACAAAGCCCAAGGTTTTCTTTTCAATTTGCTTATTTTTAGTTATTTATTTAGTTTTTTGTGTACTGTGCAAAACCCAGTTATGTTCAGTTTACTGTCAAAAGAAAGAAAGAAAGAAAGAAAGAAAGAGAAAGAAAGAAATCTTCACAACAGAGAAGCTGAAACTAGGAATATTTGACATTTTAGCTTGGAAAAATGATTCAGTTATCACTGTTGCAGATACATTTTCTGATGATTCACTAAATCAAATAAACAACTAATCTTTTCAGCTTTAAGGCAGAATATTGTTGGTTTTTGACTGCTTTGAGTATTTTCTGATTTCTAATTCTTGCTTCACTGGATAATGCTCAGTGGCTTTAGACCACACAAAACTAGATCTTGCTGAAGAGTGCCACATTTTTTCCTGTGGGACTGATCATAAAAGTAAAAAACTTTAATGTCTGTTTCTTGATCATTAGTTCAAGCAAAGAATTATTGTGCTGTCTCTCTCTTGCACACAGATTTACTCTGGGTCAGGGTCTGGTCCTGTATCCTCAGATAGGAGACAAAATGGACATTGTGTGTCCCCAGGTGAATGCTTCCTCAGGAGGAAAGGAGGAATTCTACAGAGTGTACCTGGTTTCCCGGCATCAGATGGAGAGCTGCAACAT